TTATTAAAACATTATAAAATAGTCATACCTGGAAAATATTCATGGAATATTATTATATTTAGCATTACTAAAATATATTTGTATTTCACTCATTTAACAAATATTTATTGCATGAATTCTCATGCCAGGTACACTGTGTTAGCCAACTATGGAAACAGTTATTTGTTTTCACTTAATGTGATTTTATATTTGTGTACTTGCATATATATGGCTTCATCATTTTTGACACTTCATTCAACATGAATGTATTCAAATGTACACAATATTATTGGCTATTTATGTTATTATTTTTTCAATAAATGAAGGCATATGCATTTCCTATAACATCTGATTAATATTAACATATTTCTTTACAGAAGTTTAGATAACCGTGTGTACTAATATCTGGAAGAGCAAACACCCCTTTATTGTATCTTATCTTCTTTTGTAAATTGTCATGTTTTATAGGTTAAAGCACGATGTATCATTATTGTATTAACTTGCTTTGTTTGGTTTCTGGTGATGGTGTTTTCTAAAATGTTGGGAATTGCCAACTTTTGTGAATTGCCTCTATAGAATTTCTTTTTTTAATCTATTTAGTGATTTTCTTATAAACAATTATGTTCTTATTAGTGAAGATGGTATTCTGTTATTTTATCCTATTTTCAAACACTATATTTTATTTGACCTATGTTTTTATAACATGCAAAATTTAAAAAACAATTTCCTGAGTATAAATTCATTGATGATTTTCTTTGTGATTTTTCTAACTGCTGATTGTAAAAACTCTCCCTCTCTTCAGAGATTCGATGAATATCCAATTCCAGTCTTTTAATAGTTTGTTTTAAAACATATTTAATTCTAATCCACCGAAATCTGTTTTGGTAAATGGTGTGAGATGAGGCTCTAAATGGATTTTCCCCAAGATTTCTTATCATTTATTCAAACAAACATTATTGAATAATTTACCATTCCCTGGTGATTTGTGATGCTCTATCTATGATTCAAATTTTACAAAGAACACAACTGTCTCTGGTCTAAAGAATTAGTTTAAATTTAAATTTTAAAAGACAAAACACTTTTTTTGAAATGCAAAATATTGTGATATTCATTTCTAATGCAAGGTACACATGGCAGACACTTTGAAATAAATCTCTGAGGAGAGAACACTGAAGTCATTATTATAGTGTTAAGTGCAGAGTATGCTCGCAGTATTTCCTTTGCAGACAGAACTTTCAGACCAGCATACAAATGACAAGTTAGCCTCAGTTGTGTCTGATTGTTCTCAGCAGCATTAAGGAGTCCTATCATAAGCATGAATAGGCACAAATGTTTAGCTAGAAGGATGTTAATAGGAGTATTATAAATAGTGAAAAAATAGAAATAGACTAAACTCCATTAATAGGAAGCTTTCTGTATAAATCATGGTACTTCTTTATTATTAAAACATTATAGAATGGTCATAACCTGGAAAGTATTCATGGGGAACATTATTACGTTAATAAAATTAAGTAGTTCATAAAAGAGAATGTGCAATGTAATCCCATATTGGTAAAACAACATGCATGCAGTATTATAGCCATATATTATTTTCTTTGCTCTATAGAGCAGAAATAGTAGAAAGATATCCAACATGATATTAGTGAAGATTACCTAGTTATCTCCATGTGGAGATATCATATATCTATATAAACACACCAGGATTAAGCAGCTGTCTGCACGTCCTTTCCTTGATTCTCTCTGATTTCGACTATAAATAGACAATTGATTTTAGAAGAAGTTATTTTGAGGAGGTTGGCTCCACAGCATAAAAATAAAAATGGTACATTTCACCTTCTTAGGATACTGGGTTTTTGTTCAGATAGGAAAATGAAACTCTGGAAACAAATGCTACTGTCTTGTCTTTCTTTGGCTGTACCATTATCAAAGTTCAGTAATAAATTTTCAGGAAGCACTCAGCCTCCTTTCAAACACACCCCAAAACATCGTGCAATTAATTTCTAAACTCTGCAGAAGAATATGGAAAGGTTCATCCCAATAAATAAAACTCCAGGGTAAATTGAAGTATCCATGCAAAATTCTTTTGTTGCCACTTTTGCCTTCTTACGTACCTTTCTGGCCACTGTCTGAGGAGTTATATGAGTGACTGGTGGTGACAAGACCAAACCACTTAGCATAATTTGTTTGTCATCCTTTGAAAATTCTATTTCCATAAAAATTGTGTACTGAGTATGGTTTTACTATTTTGGTCCTTAATTGGTTTGCTGACCATTAGGGACGTTGATAGTATTCTATTATGCCAGGTAAAATTCTGTGTAATGCTCTCAGAGCAAAATATTTTAAAAGAATAGATTAACAGTGCAAAAAAGACTAATTAGTCTCTGGAGTTCTCTATAAGCACTAAATTTTCCTATGTAAAGACCCCTGTGAACGTGAGAAGAATGCATATTTTATTTGTGCCGTGTAAGAAATCTTCGTGCTCAGAAGGCTAGTTTTACCTATTGACTAATACAAGGCATGACTGAGAAGTAATCAGGGAAATCCCACAAGCCACATGGGAAAATCAGTTTCAGCACTTTATAGTCACATCTTGTATTTCCTTTATTTCATGCTGTGTCACTCTCAGAAAGGGCTGCTGGCATTGGAAACAATAATTGAAGCTTTGAATTCAGTAACGAATAGTGATATTAATATTCCCTTTTGTTAACAGTATAGATACAGGTGATAGGTTGGGGGAGCTTTCTTTTTTGTGAAGTGTATGGAAAACTAGTATGAAAGGAAGGGTGGTTGCAGTGAAGAGGGAATGGGAAAACCGATACAATTCATTTTAAGTGTTGGATTTATGTAAAGGTAAAATTAAAATTTATTTAGTAAGCTGTATGACACAGGAAATTTACAGATTCAGAGCAGATGCCAGAGCCACCAGGGTCCTCAAGGGCCCCTGCTTTAATAATTTACTAGCTGGGCTGGGAGAAGTCTGCTAGGTCCTGGGGACTGGGGAGGCCACCCAGAGGGTAGGGACACTCAGTGGTCTCAGGACAGAGACTACTTTCCAACTAGCCTGAAAATATTCAATACATCAATATTTTAACAGCCAGTATGCATATCAGCAACTAAATTCTTACAGAATATATATTTGAGGAGTTTGTCCAGGATTTCAGATTCTGAAGTATTATTCTGAACTTAAAAGTCTAACATTTTCAATTCTAAGTGATTTATTCTAAGCATTTTCTGCTATCCTTTCCCTTTGAGTCGCAGGGTCCTGTGCTTTTTTTTGTTTTTGTTTTTTGGCTGACCTTGGTTGGTCATGCTTCCCAGCTCAAGCCCTAAGAGGGACAATTATTACTGGCCTGGTGAACGCACCAGCAAGATCATTTCCTGTGTGGCTTCTGATGGAAACAACTATCAAGGCACTGACTCTGTCCTAGGACTGGAGGAGATCTCTTCCCCTGAACCTCTCCTCTGAGACTGATCCCCTGCATCTGTGGTCACCTATCAGTGCTTCTCTTTCAATCACTCAGAAGCCCTGAGAGCCACGTTGATCCCCAACATCTAGCCTGACTTGGAGGAAACCTGCCTCATCACAGGCACCTTTCTCAATTATCAATTGGAGGTGTCAAAATACACATTTGTCCATGAGACAGAAAACCCCACTTGCCCAGGGAAGACACACTTGTCATTCCTAAAACTCGTTAATGGTTTTACTTTACATCTGTAATTTAACATGTCTCCTTTTATCCAGTATTTGGATTGTCATCTCAATTCTTTGTCACTTTTGGGAGCAGAGAAAGTTTGTTTCTGAGCATCATTTGTTTCCCATGGACCTATGTCTGATTTAACCTTAAATAACGTGCTCTAGAAAATAAGTTTTCTCTTTGCCAGGTTTAACTCTTAAGTCACCGTGAATTCATTTTAATGACTTTTTTGGTCAATAAAAATTATTTATAACTAACTAAATTGAAAGATTCTTTCATTTTTAAATCTTTTTTTAGCATGTTAATCTTTTTTTGTTGTTCTTATATAAAGTCCCAATAATTTTTCAGGGGGAAGAAGTAAGAAAAAAAATCCCTGGGTGAGATAATTTATGAACTGATTATTTCACAAAAAGAAAGAGAGAGGCAACACAAATACAAAAGTGGAGATAATGATAAATTCTGCTGAAATTAGTATAGGGAAATGCAAATTATCATGAGAAAAATCGTAGGAGAAATGCTTCTGATGGGTCTCTTTTAAATTCAGGTTTTAGTCCTCCTACAGCTACCTTCCTGAGATTTAAAATTTTTAAAATAAGCAAAGAATAGGAATCATTTTCCAAAACCTTTCATAAATGTGACACTGATGTATTGATATACAGCCCATTAGCCTAGAGTTTCATCTCTTCATCTATCATTTCGCTTATCTCCTGATTTCCCCAGGGCTTTTGATAAATGGGAGACCATTTACATTTGGTGCATTTATGAATGACCTTGGTAAATTTTGAAAATGCCTCCTCCTACTATATGTATATGTATATTTTTCAAAATGACCTACTAGTTCTTTGTGTATGCCAAAGGATAGAGTGGCATAGTGCAACTCCATCACTTGGAGATAATTTTAAAATAAAAATCCGAAAATATGGGAGTTTATGTTGGTACATCCATAACAATAAGTAATTGTGTAGGGGTTAAAAGTTACCTAGAAGCAAAAGAGGCAGAAGAGCATTGTTCAGAATAAATATGACCCTTTTGGGGTTTTCTTCCTCTTTAGAGTCCATTCTCCAAAACCTTCCACATCAGACATGGTTACAGAGCATATTTTTATTTGTTTGTTTCAGTGTTGATATTATTTTGTTATTGTCATTTTTTTACTATGATGAGTTGAAAGAGAAATTTTTTTCTAAAATCTTTTGTCGGCTTATCCCAAAATGTACAACAACCCAAGGCAACACACTATACATATATCCCTTGTATATGAGATGTCCATCTATCTGTATCTATATTAATATCTATATATTTATTTCCCTATTTTTACCTTATTTGTAGTTGTTTCTTCATCGGAGGAGGGACCAGTGGAGGGATAGAGGAGCACACCAGTGTGCCTGCTCTACTATTACTCTACCCCGGAATGCACTTGAAAAGGTAAAAAAAAAAAAAAAAAAAAAAAAAAATCATTGCTTTGTAGCCCTCAGTGGTTAAGTTTTTAGAGGACAAGGATATATTTTGTTTATCTATGTATCTTCTGGTACCTAGTACAGTGCTTAGCACAAATGAGGCATTTAGTACTTTTTGACAAACGAATGAATGAATGAATGAACAAGTGAATGAATGAACACTTTGTTTTACCTAGAGGTTACCAGAGCTATTTTCAAATCACATGGCAATTACCCAGCACATATACAGTAAAGAAAAGGAGCTTCTGTCATTGAGCCACAGAAGAGGCTAAAGGTCAAAGAGAAAATTGAAAATCTTGACTTTTATATGGCAAGTCTCATCTCTGTGCCAGTGACTCAAATCTACTTCTCTGGCCCCTCTCTTTTTGGGCAGTTCACCTGAGCACCCACCAAATGATTAAGTTGAGACTTGGGCTCTCCCTTGTATAGATCTAGACCGGAGCAAGCATTTCCAACCGGAAGTATCAGCTAAAATCTCAATCCAAGGGGCCAGTCTTGCAGAAGAGAAAAGCTGAGATTCAGATACCAGAAGGGAAACATAATTACCAGATATCAAAGGGCCAGAAAAGTAAAGCCAGGTCAAGAACTCAGAACCAAAATTTTTAAGACTGTTAGACACAGGGGTGGCAGTGAAGTAGGTTATTGAGAAGCAAGGAAGAGGGAAAGGGCAGAGTCCTGGGTAGTTGACTCTAATTCCAGCCTATGATTGAGCGTCAATTTGATGAGCTCACTGATGAGGTATGTGTAAAGATCGAGCAGAGTTGACAAAGGTATTCAAAGCTGTTCCCCTACTGATGGGCAGCCTCAGCCCTTCAACTTGCGCATTGGACTTTCTCCCCTGTTTCTTTGGCACTACATATTTAGTGTACCTAAAATGAAAAATAGCTTCTCCTGTATTTATTGCCAGAAAAAATACCACAAGACTTGGGAATGGGCAAAGGAGAGTACAGGTATCTGTACTCTCATTGGAGTACTGGGCATACCTAGGGGACCCTCCGGGGATTATCTAATTCTATAGGAATGTGCATGTTTTATTGTCTTTCTGTTGACTGGGTTATTTTACAACTCTGAAAGTGTAGAGGTTGTAGAAAACCGCTAGTCATGCAAATGATTTTTCTCCACAGCAAGGGTATTTTGTCCCATAAATACACATTTGATTATTGCACTATTGAAAAGATGACCCAAATAATTTTATTGCCCTTTATAATATATTAACCAGTTTGTCATTTATTAACAAATTATTATCAGCATTCATGATTGCCCATGTTTGCGGTATGTTGTGTATGTATATATCACTGGTTTTTTCATTAATGAAAAAGTTGAATAAAATATTTACCATATTTATTCTGTATGTACAGGAGAGTCATGTTTTTAGCTTATTAAAATTCTACTAACATCCTTATTATTAATATCTCTACCATGCTAAACACTTGGTACCATTGAGCTTTCTCATTCCCTGGCTCTCCTTTAGAAAATCAGTTGCTGAGTTAAATACACTTTACTTCACTTCCCATTCCCACTTTCAGTGAGCCAGTTCAAGTCCCAATTATTTTGTACTTGAGCTGATCCAATGACCCAACACTCTCCAAACTGATCTTCCTAATTTGTCCCCCCCACTGTCACACACCAAACACAAAAAAAGCCAAACCTTTTCATCTAACCTCAGGTCTTTGGGACCGTCTCAGCTCACAAAACTTGTCTGACTTTCTGTTGGCTAAAAAATCAAGTCCTCAAACTTCATCTCCTTAACGATAGAGATCTGAGGTATCATCTTAGTCCTATATTCACTGACACCTTATATTAGTTTTCTAAGGCTGCCATAACAGAGCAACAAAGATTGGATGGCTTAAATAACAGAAATTTAATTCCTCACAGTTCTGAAGGGTAGAAGTCCAAGATCAAGCTCTCGGCAGAGCTGGTTTCTTATGAGGGCCTCTCTCCTGGCTTGTAAATGGCCATCTTCTCCCTGTGTCTTCACATGGTCTTTCCCTTCTGTGTGTCTGTGTCCTAATCTCTTCTTATAAGGGCACCTGTCATATTGAATTAGGACCCATCTATATGAACTCATCTTACCTTAATTACCTCTTTAAATACCCTATCTCCAAACACAGTCACATTCTGAGGCATTGTGGGTTAAGACTTCAACACATGAATTTGGGAGGAACACAATTCAGCCAATGACACCCCTATAAGAGGGAAGAAAATAAATGTTTGTTGAATGCCTACCATGAGTCAAGCACTGTGTTTTATGCTTTCACATAAGTTAAAAAATGGTTGACTTGGTGTTTTTCTGAACCTATCCTAACCCAATTTCTAGTTGTAATATATCACCTCATCTAAAATTCCTCCCTCTGTAAGAATCCTGGTATCCTCCTATCAAATGTCATATCTCTTTATTTTGAAATCTCCATGGCACTTAATTTTTCCCTTTTATAGTACTTTCAAATTCTACCTGGTTTTATGATCATTTTGTACCTGTGTTTTCTAATGATAGATTATTAATTTTTTAAAGGCAAGGGTATTATTGACTGTTTTAGGACTCCCTTGAGATATGTGACCTGCTGTCTAGAATATAGATATTTATTAAATTAAGAATTCAAAGGAAGAAGAAAAAAGTTTGTGAAAGAAAGAAGAGGCAAGGTGGTCATATTTTTTTCTCGAGGGGGAGATGGTTGGTGAAGGATGAGGGAAGAGAAGAGAAAGAAGCACAAGAAAGTTGTCAGATAATAGCCACAATTATAAAGCTTTTAAGTTAGAGGCCAATAATATAAGACTTTTTGGAACATAGAGGTTCTAATACTTTATCTTTTAATTGATGATATTCTTAGTAAATCATATTCCATTTAAGTAGTTTCCTGCCTTTAAGCAATGGAGAACATTATGATTTGTGGATCAAAATTATTTTAATATTGATCTCCATTCCCACTGTATCACATTGGCTTAAAGATCTGATATCAGCTAATTTGTCTCTCACAATCAGCTGGGGTGTGACTTGAGGCGACAAATTATTGTGTGGCAGCAAATATATTCTGCAGTTCAGCCAACGTGGTGTGGTTTTTGAAGCATCAAAAGATTTGAAGGTCTCAGCTAATGTGCATTACACACGTCACATTTCCCAAACTAGGCCTAAGACTTGTGAGGGTGTGATCCATAACTCCATCTACTGCCACCAGACTGTGATATTTATTGCTGTGAAAATTCCCATGACAAATTTGTTTCTGTGGCACATTTACCATTACAAATTGACTTGGAGCCATAGATGTGATGGCTTCAGATGTAGCAGCCCCAGTACTTTATTGTTTTTCGTGTCTTAGGCTGCTGTGAAATTTTTAGAAGTTCCTGTTTCCTTGGGTTATTTTAAAAATAACCAGCAAATCATTCTTTTAATAGAGTATATTATTATTCAAACCTTTTCTGAAGTAAAGTTTCATCTGATTTCTAAATTTAACAGTATGCTCTTATCTCAAAGTTTTTGTCACCATCCACTTAGCATGTATTTTTCTCATTATTGAAATATTCCAGATGCTTTCTTTCAAAAGAAATTAGGACTAAATGTAACATTCTATACAGGGACTTCTGTGGGGTAGAGATATAAATAGGATCTCCCATTAAAGTAAGATCTTCTAAATTGAGAATTGTAGAGTTGGATTCGTGGCTTCAGTATGTCTGAGGCCTTGTGCTGTGTCTGAGGGACCCAGAGATGCATGAGACATTGGGCTGGCTCTCAAGAAGTTTACAGTTACCCGAGGAAAGACACAAATAACCATATCGAAGTTAACCACCGATTTTCAACTAGGGGTGATTTTACCCCTCAAGGACATATTGCCAATTGAGATGGAGATCTCCCTCAGAAAGTTTGATGTATACATATAAAGATTTAGTAGAGCACTGGGCTGGAGATCTAGATGTGAGAGTCATAACACGATAGTTGTTGAAAACAAAAGACTGGTAAGATTACTCAGCAACAGTGTGTGGATGATCAGGGCACTGAGTAAGGGACACCTTCATTTTAAAGGAGACACAGAAGGAGGACTCATAAAGGCAACTGAGAAAAATATTAATATAATAACATTAGCAAACATTTTTAAAGAGCCCGTACTATGTGCAAAAAGTAGTCCTCGGGCTTCCCTGGTGGCGCAGTGGTTGAGAGTCCGCCTGCCGATGCAAGGGACACGGGTTTGTGCCCCGGTCTGGGAAGATCCCACATGCCACGGAGCGGCTTGGCCCATGAGCCATGGCCGCTGAGCCTGTGCATCCAGAGCCTGTGCTCCGCAAAGGGAGAGGCCACAACAGTGAGAGGCCTGCGTACCGCAAAAAAAAAAAAGTAGTCCTCATAACTAGCCTATTATTGCCAGCTCTTTTGGATAGCGATCGAAGGAGGGATCAACAATACCAAAACCTTCAATACAATGAGGGCTAAAGCCATCCATAGATTTGGCAATTGGGAAGTCACTGGCAGTCTTAGCGAGAGCCGCTTCTGTAGAGGGATGGAGTTGGAAGCTAGAGTCCAGTGGATAGAGGAGCCACAGGTTGGTGTGGAAGTAGAGATAAAGGAGTTTGCATTAAGAGGATAGGAAAGAAAATGACAGTGTTTTAATGGAAACAGACTAAAGGGAGGGCATTTTGTTTTAGGATGGAAGAATGTTAAGAGTTGCAGACACTGTTTATAGACCTTGAGTAGAGAGATGAAGATTCCTTACAGACACTAAGAGGACTGGCAAATTCTACAAGAAAAGACAGTGTAAGAGACTTGAGAGGCAGTGCCTAGGGCCAAGCTGAAACAGGATACCACTTTCCCCAATCCATCAGTCCACTGGAGCCCCTTTTTGGAATTTCTTCCCTCTTATCTAGTTTGGATTTATCTGAATTATTCTTTCAGGAGGACCTCTGAGTGTTTCATCTTCACTTATCAGGACACCATGCTACAAAACCGTATCACACGAGTAATATACTATAGTCTTCCATCTC